GGGGGGGGGGGGGGCACATTGATCTCTATCTGTTAAACACATTGCCTATGAAGAAACAATACAACTATTATTTGACTTACAGTATTTCATAAAAGTTAGGTCTACACTAAAAAGATCTACTCGAATTTATTTAATAATCTCGAACGCACTGTCATCATTTGTCATTCTTAATTAGATCTTTAGTTAGAACGAGATTTAATAAAATAAAAAATCGAAAAGTATAAGAAATATAAAATAGATGTTCAATTGCTCTTAATCTGACAACGTTAACTAAAATTGAAATGAGTCTTTCGACGACAGAGACGACCTCTAAAAATATAAACAATTAGAAAATTATTTCAATTATCAACTTCTCATTTATATACTAAGTAGTTTCTATAATATTGACAAAAGTATAATTTTTCTTCGTTATACTAAGTATCTATGAATAAAACTCAATCACACTTTTTTATGTGATAAATATTGTCTTTTCCCCTTCTTTGAATATGAATTCTTCAATATCATACGAATTAGAACAATGACTAGCGATGAATATAATATCGGAGACAGACGAAAAAAAAGAATAAATGTTCATCCATAAATTAATCGGGCTATTCATTCATGATATATTTTTTTTCTGGTGAGCTCATCCATTCATTTATCCAATGAATACCATCGGACACCAACGAACAATGAACATCGATATTATATATATATGCATAATAATAAGTGTTAGTCAAACTCAACATGAATCTGTCTAACATTGGCCTTCTTGATTTACCTAATGATATATTATTTATTATTTTAAAAAAGCTCAACAATATAGATGTTCTTTATTCATTGTTGGATGTTGATAATCAAGGACTTGACATTATAGCACAAGAAAATACTTTCACTAATACTCTCAATTTTGTATTAACGACATCAACTGATGATATTTCCTCATTTACTGATTCAATACTTGATCGGTTCTGCAGAAATATATTGCCAAGAATTCATCACAATGTTAAATCTCTTATTCTTGACTCAATATCTATGGAACGTATTCTTCTGGCTGCTGATTATCCTAATCTAACTGAACTTAAACTCTTTAATTTTAACGGCAAAATTGTTTCACATTATTTTACAGGTAAATAACGTTACATATTGATTAGAGTAATGATTTAGATGAAAGACTATTATATAGATAGACCAGACAATAATTATTTTTTTATTTAGTTGAATCACCATTTCGACGTATTTTTCAACGACAAATTACCGATCTTATTCTTGTATTCGAAAACGATTTTAATGAATTATCAGTTAAACATTATACAACAGATGTCTATGGATATATTTTGAAATTCTTCGAAAATTTAAAACATTTATCTATTATTGGATCATTTCCCCATTTTTTTCCACCTTTGGTACTTCGTAATTTAACTTTAATTACCTTCTTCTCTTCAATTCTTTACAAATTATGTATTCATGTCGGGAATTTCTTAGATTTTCTTGCTTTACTTGATGGTCGCCTTCAACAATTAACTACCTTGATTGTTGCTATTGGTGATATGGCATATCATTCATCGAATGTTTACAATATGGTAAGTTTATTTTATAAAAATTAATCTTTTCAACGTAAAAAAAAAATATTATTGATCAAAGTAATAATTTTTTTCTATATTATGATAGATAGATTTTTTTTTGAGCTAATGAATTACTATTTATTTGAATCAACTATAATGAAATAGTTGTAAAATGAATACTCGTCTATTTGGAACAAATAAATTGAATGATTGAGTTTCATTGATACACACAAATAAATGATTAAGTTTTGATGAGTTTTAGGTTTATCAATCATGTAATTTTCTACTCAAAAACGATATGTGTTAAAAATAAAACTAAAAATGTTTATCTTCAGATATTTTGAAGATATATCTAGTTGTTCGAGAAGTCGACAAGAGATCAAACTTATCTCAGTCTAAATTTCCTTGCAACAGCTATAAAAAAAAATCTTTGCTTTTGTTTGCTTTTCGTCATTCCTGTTATTTTTATAATAAACAAAGTAAAAAGCTTGCGAATAATAAGTGAGGACAGATAAAGATTATGAAATATAGAAAAGTTAGATCGGGATAACTTTCATCTGTTATGAATCGATGGTTTGTTTAGGGAAGTTTTTCGTGTTGACACCATTGATTCGATTTAATTCTGATTATTTTATGCATTTGCAAATAGTCATATTTATCTTCAAATATGACTTATTTTCTATACAAATAATATTTTTCTAATATAAGTATAATAATAAACTTATCGAAAATTTTCGAGTTATCTCAATATCCATTATTTCTTATGTGTTGAAAGTTTAGAAAAATAAAATAATTGTCTTAGTCATCATTGCAGAAGAAAATTTATATATCATAGAATAGAAGATATATTTTAAAAATGAATTAAATAAGAATAAATTTTCAATCAATTAATCATCTGAACTTTTTCTTATTTTAATCGATAATAATATATTGACAAATATATTAATTTATATTTTCTAGGGTAATTCACTTAATTTGAAATGTTTCTCTTTAACATGTTATTGCTTATCTTATGAATATGATGCTCAAATTCTACCTCTTTTTCGTCATATGTCAAATCTTGAAGAATTAACTTTGCATATTACTATAGAGAATCGAACTGCATTTATCGATGGTACTCACATTTATAATGAAATTCTTGTTCATATGC